TTGTGTTAAACACCTGTGTGTGGCCCGAGACCCTGCCTAACCTGGCCGTGACCCCATGTCCTCCAACTCTCCCCTTTGTTCGCTAGTCCAAGCCACACTGCACACCCTGCCATCGCTCCGCCGCGCGGGCCGCCCCCCATCCCCCCTCAGGGCCTCTGTGCACCCTCTCTCCTAACTTCACACTGACTTCCTCATCATCCAGGTCCCAGCTAACCGGGCCCTTCCTCAGAGGCCATCTTTGGCTCCCAAGCCAGGGTCCCCTTTTGAAATGACTATGTACTGAATTTTCTTAGGATTTGGTCACTGCCTGTATTCTTCCACTAGACACAAGCTTTCTGGGGGAAGAGATCACAGCTCTCTCCCAAGGCAACGGAGGACAGAGTTGAGAAAGCAGGTTCATGGGCGCCTGGGTGGCTCAGTTGGTTAAGCGACTGCCTTCGGCTCAGGTCATGATCCTGGAGTCCCGGGATCGAGTCCCACATCGGGCTCCCTGCTCAGCGGGGAGTCTGCTTCTCCCTCTGACCCTCTTCCCTCTCGTGCTGTCTCTCATTCTCTCTCTCTCAAATAAACAAATAAAATCTTAAAAAAAAAAAAAAGAGAAAGCAGGTTCATCTCCTGATGCCCAGCTGTGTAACCTTGGGTAAGTTACTTAACCTCTCTGTGCCTTAGTTTGCTCGCCTGTGCAAAGGGGATAAAAGCGGCACCCCTCCCCCCACCGTCTGGGGCATTGACCAGCTGCGAACGGTGTGTGCCACCGCAGGGCTGGCTCTGTGTCGCCATCGCCACGATACCTGCGGACCACTGAACGAATGGACAGTCTGTCCCGGGTCACTCCGTTCATTTCCAGGCAAAGCTGGCTTTTCGGATCTGCCGAAGCTCAGCATCAGAACCGTCCTTCGGAGAGTTCTGGAGTCTTTCTCTTCCCACCACTATTCCTCGTCACTTTGCGTCAAACCCCAAACCCGTTTCCCGTCAGGCTGAGCTTCCCTGGTCGTGCTGCTGCCCGTGAACCAACAGCTGAGTGGCCCGAGGCCCACAGAGGCTAAGGGACCTGCCCACGGACACACAGCTAAAACATGCCGGAGGTGGGGTCCAGCTACAGTGAGAGAGAAGTCTAATGCCTAAAGCCTCAAGTTAAAAGTCTTGGAACACCGTAAAAAACAATATAAAAGTATAACGGGAAACTTTTACATGGTACAGCATGAAGACAGAGACCACCGTCCCATAAATACACATGCATCAGCATTAAGCTCATGGCACGGACCACGTACATTCTTGTACCTGGGCACAGAGGGCCTGGGGTACCAGGCCAGCCCTCATCTCAGCCTGTGGACCGACTGCCTGCTTCTCCGGCAGCTCAGATCAGAGGAAGAGGCCTGGGTTTCAGGGGAGCTCGTGAGGAGGTCGTATATCCTCGGGCTGGCACCCCCTGGCCCTGTCAGGTCAGCTCAGGCCACAACCAGCACCGTCACATGGGCAGGCGCCAGTCCGGGCCCCTGGTGCTGGGCGCAGGGGTGGACGGACTACTTCTTGGCCCTGTTCCTGGGGTGCGGGGAGACCCCGGCCCAGCTGCCCTGCACCCTCCCTGGACCTCCCACTACCTCTGCAAAGTGAGGGAGGAGGGAGGAGGAGGACGGCAGGAAGGAGGGAAGGGGGGCTGGCCAAGTTATTAAAAACAAGGACCGGTTTTCTCTCCGTGCCCCCCACCGCCGCGCCCTCCCCAGGAACTCCTGCTTCAGCTCATGGGCTAGCAGGAAGGGGGAAAAACATACCCCAAAAGGGCCCTGCCCAGCTCCAGGGGTGAAAGCTGAGGGCCCTCCCTCCTGGGCCCCACAAGAGGGTCCCCACCCCTCCCCTGACTGTGGAAGGGTCATGGGGGCACAGTGATGGGTGGTGGGCTTTCAGGGGAGTGCTACGGCTCACCCTACAGGGACAAGGCCCCTTGCCAGCATTCCCACGGGGCCAAGGGAGCCCCGAAACCCCTGCCCCACCCTTCACTCCATGGGGACCTCGGGGACCCTCAGAGGGAGTCTGAAGAGGGTGGGTAAGGGCAGGAGATGGAATCTGGGGCTGGGGGTGGGGGCTTCACACTGTCGGAGGGGAGGAAGGCCTATTGTGGACCCACTGAGAGGCACCGGCTGGAGCCACTGTGGAATCCTGGCTTTGGGGGGAATCTACCCCTGCACTCTAGGAGAACCCCCATCTCCCAGATAGTGGTCCCAGGGGCAGAACTGGGCACAGCGAGGGTGCAGGGCCAAGTGGTGCAGGTTACCGGCCCTGCACCCAGGCCTCACTCACAGATCTGAATCCCGGCCTCACGATTTTTTGGGTGGACAAGCAATTCGACTCTTTGGTGCCTCAGTTTCCTCCTCTGTAAAATCAGGACAATGACTGGACCTACCTCACAGGGTGGGATGTCTGGTGCCTGCAGAGTCAGGGCCCCACCACCAGCTGTGACGATCATTATTCTAGAAGGGCTCCTCCAGCTCACACCCTCAGTGCAGGTACAGCCCTGGACATCTTTGGGTCTGCACACACGCGTGTGCGCACACTGACAGGCACCACCTGCCCCAGACAAAGCCCTCCTGGGGCCAAGTTTAACATGCTGGGTTGCTGAATGACTCACCACCCCTGGCTGGAATGCACTTCCTGGAACAAGTCACCACAGGTAGGCCTAGGGGGGGCCCTACCTCCCGCAGTCTGGTAGAAATGAGAGAGTGCAGGTCCCAGCATGCCCAGCCACACCCACGTGGGATCCTGCTCCAGGAGTGGGCAGGGGAACCCCAGGTTCAGAGGCCTGCAGGCCTGAGTTCCAAACCCAGCACTGAGCTCAGATACATCTGTCTCTCAGCTTTAGTAGTCTCTGCCTCTAAAGGGGGACACTAGTGCCAACCACATGGGGGCAACTGCAGATCACAGAAAAAGACTGGAAAGTGCAAAGACCAAGGGCCCAACAGGCCCTCGTGTTAGGAGACTTGCTGGAGGCCATGGGCAGCCAAAGTCCTCTGATTTTCCTCCCGATGTGCTCCTAAACCATCAGCACTGTGTGACTAGTGGTGGGGGGAGGGGGGAGGGTTTCCTGTTTACCAAGGAACGGTCACCATAGCTCAAGGGAGAGGAGGACAGAGAAGCAGCTCCTGACTTCATCATTGTTGGAAGGCAGAGAGATTGCATTTGTCTGGAGATGGGGCAATCCCCGAGGGCTTCTCAGAGGAGGTGGCATTAACTTCGGTTCTGAAGGATCAATAGGAGTTTCAAGACCATGAGATGTGTGAGGCCACTGTCTAGCTGTTACTGGCCTTGGGCAAGGGACTCACCAGGTGGCAGGTAAGTGAGTAGCACATGCCTCGGGCAGGTGTAAGACAAGACGGAGCAACGGGGTCCTGGCAGGGACTGGACAGGGAAGCCCTGTCAGGCATCCCAAGTCACACCGTTGAAATAACATTGCCTGACCAAATAGAACGAGTACACCAGCTAAATGCTGTCCGTGGGCTGCAAGACCACAACCACCGAAACCTTCCAAACTTCCATTGCGTCTCCTACCAAATCGGAATCATGCTGATGCCCAGCACACATGACTGCTGGGAAAGGTAAATGAGTCCACACACACCAAGTGCCTGGTGCAGCGCCTGGAACAGTCAACCAAGTGGAGATGTGCCGGCAGGCAGAGGGTTGGAGGAGCAGAGGGGGGACCCCCGGGCAGACCCCAGGAATAATGAGAGACCCTGCTGAGGGGCAGGACAGGGCAGCTGGCTAAGCTGTGAAGGGTCCAACCCTGCCTTATCACACCAGGCTGTGTGGCCTCCCACAAGTCCCTTCACCTCCCAGAGCCTCAGTCTCCCCATCTGTAAAGTGGGGGCGATGATAAAGCTCCTTCCTCCAGAGACTGGTGTGAGAACAAGGTACCACAGAAACCAGCAGACGGAGCGCTTGGAACAGACCTGACAGGAACCACTGTTAAATGACTGAACGCAGCCTTGGGCGGGGCTTCTCAGCCTCGGAACTACTTGTGTGCAGAGCTAAAGAATCCTCTGTCGTGGGGGGCTGTCCTGTACATTGCAGCGTGTGTAACAGCACCCCTGCTTTCTTTTTTTAAAAAGATTTATTTATTTATTTATTTGAGAGAGAATGAGAGCGTGCATACAGGGAGAAGCAGACTCCCTGCTGAGCAGGGAGCCAGACGCCGGACTGGATCCCAGGACCCTGAGATCATGGCCTGAGCTGAAGGCAGGCGCTTAACTGACTGAGCCACCGAGGGGCCCCATCACCCCTGGTTTCTACCCACTAGATGCCAACAGCTCCCCTCACATCCAGCTCAAAACCAAAATATCTCGACATTGCCCAGTGTCCCCTGGACTAGGGGACCAGCAGATAATAAGCAGCAAAGACAGATGTGCCTTAAACACTGAAGGTCTCCACTGCAGAATCAGTCTGGCCTCAGTCTTCCCATCAGCAAAACGGATACAATGATGGTTTCTTTGCCGTTGTAGGGAGGATCCCAGGGAAGCAGAGATGTGGAGGGAAGAGGCCTTTGCAAGTTAAAAAGGGCCACGTGCAGGCTGGCCCTGCACCATCCCCAGCCCCTCTGGTCGGCTGGAGGCTGACGTGTGCCTTCAGAAGGAGGACCCACCCTGAGTTCTGAATGTCACCCTGAGCACGTCCTTAGGTGTATAAGGACAGGACAGGAGGGCAGCGGCTGTCCCCGCTCACTGCGGTAACCCCGGAAGGACCATAGTGCTCAGCATGCAGCAGGCACTCAATAAATGGTGGATGAGTAAGCAGGCGGTCACAGCACTGAAGCTCAAAGCTCAGGGCAAGAAGAGGCGCCCAAGGGAGGGACGGAGACACTCCAGCCCCCCTGGGCCAGCAGTCCCTCAGCCGGCCAGCCAGACACCATTTCCTGTCTGTGGAAGTGAGACATGCCCTTTGAACTCTCACTTCCTGAGCCCCTCTCCCCTCTCTGGGGTCTGGGAGGAGGCAGGCGGTGGGGAGATACTCACATTCCTGAAGGAGGGAAGCCCCGCGGAGCCCAGCCACCTCCGCAGAGCCTGCGTGAAGGCCCCGCGGTCCCGCTCGGCCTGAAGCACGTGGGCCTCCAGGAAGGAGACGTGGTGCCCAACCATCTTGACGAAGGCCTGGCGGAGAGAAGGGAGAGCTGGGGATGCCACATCTGCCACGGACTGGAGCCCGGTCCTGGCTGCGCTGCTCCAGCCTGTGGAGAGGGGTTGGCCTCGGTGCGCGCCCCCAGGGAGGTCACACGGGGCCTGCTCAGCAGGGACATCCTCAGACTCCCTGACCGTAACAGTAATGGCTCCCCAGGGGGCCTGGCCAGATGTCTACTGTGTCCTCTCACCTTCTCCCCATGGGGACCCTAGTTTTAGCCTCTATTTTACAGAGGAGGGGCACTGAGGCTCAGAGGGGTCGAGTCGCCTGACCAAAGTCATTCAGCCAGCAAGGGGCCGTGAGAGGAGTCAGGTGCGTATCCATCAGACTGCAGAGCCTTCTTTATTAAAAATGAGCTCTTTAGAAATTGCCAAAATGCTCACTTTCATGGTTGATGGGGATAGCGGAGGGTCTCAAACTCAGAGGCTGCTAAGGGGCAGGCAGGTGACCAGCAGGTGAAGGAGGGCTGAGTGGAGGCTAGGATGGCCCAGAAAGCTGGGTCCAAGCCAACGGGGGCCACTCCGCTCCAGGCCTCTGATACAAAATTCCCAGGTGCAAAAAAAAAAAAAAAGAGAGAGAGAGAGAGAGAAGAGGGAGAGAACACTCTGGGGTCAGACTCTGTGGATTAGAATCCAGGTTCCATCACTTACTAGTTGTGTGCTTTCTGGCAACTTAATTTCCACAAGCCTCAATTTTCTTACCCATTAGATGATAATAATGATGATACGACTATACTGAATACAAATAATACCAACCTTGCTAAGCAGTTAAGTGCTTAGCACATATCGACCTCAATAAATGTCAGGTATCATTTTGGAAAAAAAAACAAACAAACCTGTAGATGTTATGAAAAGTCTCCGGTTTTTATCAATGTTAGCAATAAATTCACAATTAAAAAAAAATAACACTGTGTAGGCCCAGAAAAATTCAGCCCACCCATCTGCCTCCTTTTTGTGATATCTCTTCATGCCTTCCCCTACAGTGAGCACACGTGAGTGCCTGTGTTCATGCATGTACGTGTTCATGCGTGTGTTCACGTGTGTGTCTGCGTGCGCATGTATTTAAGTGTGTGCGCGTGGTCACGTGTGTGAACGTGTTTGTCTGTTGCATGCGTACATGGCTAAGGCCACTGAAGGTAGTGACGCCAGAGCCATGTCACAAAAGCCTCACCTCTGTGGACCTGCCTTGTTCCCACAGTGGACTGGAAGAGAGCTTCTCTCACCAGGAAGAGGAAGGAGGATATCTCAGGGCTGCGCCCTATGAGGGAGCCTCCCTTCACTAGAAGGAAGCTCATGGCCACCCCCCCGCCCCCCGCCAAGGCCTACAAGGAGCCCACCATCCCCAGCCCTGCCCTCTCATCCTCCCACACCGGCCTCCCTTGGGTTCCCTGAAAACGCAGGCCCCTCTCACCACAGGGCCCTTCCCCCTGCTCTCTGCAGGCCGGGTCCTGCTCTCTGTCCTTGACGGGGTGCACGCTGCCCATCTCTCAGGCCCTCCACAGACAGGCCTTCCCTCACTGCCTCGTCTACCACAGCACCCGGCGCTGTGGCGACCCCCGGTTTCCCTGTCTTCTTTAGCCCTCCTCAGCCTCCGAACCTCCTGTCTGCTTATTCACAATCCGTCTGCCTCCAGAATGTAGGTCCTAAAAGATGAGGTGCGGAGTCCGTGGTGGTCACGAGGCCAACAGCAGAGCCCGGCGGGCCCGCAGGGGCTCCGCTGGATGGAGGGCGCGGACGCGAGCACGCGAACGAGTGCAGCCCGAGCAAAAAGATGCGGTTGCACCTCTGCCGCCCAGGGTTCTGGCAGGGGCAGAGCTGAAAGGTCCAATGAGCCACACGAGATTTGGGGGGACGGGAGACAAGGGGCCACGGGGCCAGGGAGCTGCCCCCTCAGCAGAGGCACATCTGCTTGTGAAACGCAGCAGAGGGTCCCACGGTCTCCGTCCTCCCCGTCCTCCCCGTGCTAGCACCAGTCTGCTGGGGGGACAGCGGGAGGGCAACCTCCTCTGTCTGCTGCGTTGGTGGCCGCGCCTTGGGAGTAGGGGGGACTCCTACCTACCTCGTCTTTTCTACAATGAAACTGTGCGACTTTTATTACCAGGAGGGAGGGAAGGAAGACAGGGAGGAGAGAGGAAAGCCCCCTTGTTCCCAAACATACTGGTAAGTACTGACGGGTGTGAACACTTCTGGCAAAAGGCCCCCCGCTTCAGACCAGGGCGCTGTCCAGGCAGGAGAGCCAACACTGGGCACTGAGGAGCGGTCAGGAGCAGACGTCCGCCACGCCAGCTCTACCACCACCCAGCTGTGTGGCCGGGGGCAAATCACCTCACCTCTCTGTGCCTCCCTGTTTCCTCTGCCAAATGGGACCCCAAGTGGGACCTTCCTCCCGGGGCTGTGGCGGGTGGAGCGCCTTCTTATCAGGAAAGCACTTCGAGTCCCTGGCTCATAGCAGGTGCCCTGTATGGATTCGTTTTTAATACTAAAAGTGAGAAAGGCCCAAGTGCCTGCCCGAGTGGTCACCCTGTGGTCCCCAAGCCCCTCCTGGCAGGTGGCACTGATCTGAGGGTGGTCCTGAGCTCCCTGGAAGGGCCCGGGGTCCACAGCCAACTGGGCAGAGCGGCGAGCAGCCATCCCGGCCAGACTCACCTCTCGGCCTGTGGCAGCAACGACCAGAAGAGTAGTGGTCCTCACCGAGCACCTAAATGTGCCCCCCCAGAGGTCCATGTCCTCACTCCCAGAACCTATGAACGTATTACCTTCTAGAGCCAGAGGGACTTTGCGGATGGGATTAAGGATCCTGAAATGGGGAGATGATGCTGGATTATCCAGGTGGGCCGCATGTCATCACAGGGTCCTTGTCAGAGGGAAGCAGGAGGGGCAGAGTAAAAGAGAGTCCGGAAGAAGCTACGCGTGGGGTGGAAGCCATGAGCCGAGGAATGCAGGCAGCCTCTGGAAAGTGGACAAGGCCCGGACCCAGAGGCTCCCCGGAGCCTCCCGAAGGAACCAGCCCTGCTGACAGCTCAATGTTAGCCTGTAAGACACATCTTGGACTTCCAACCTCAGGAGGATTGTAAGATACAAATCCGTGTTGTGTTAAGCCCCTAAGTCTGTGCCTATTTGTTACGGTTATAGGAATGCTTTGTGGCCGGGTCTCTCCTGCTGGAACACGGCCACGGACAGCCCCTGTCTCTCTCACTGCGAGAGCCCCGCAGCGGCACACAGTAGGCCCTCAGCATTAGCAGACTGACCGCCACGGGAAGGGCTGGGCCAACCCAACGAGGCGAGAACCAGGGCTTCAAATCCTCACATTTTCTTTCCTCTGTCAAACGTGTGGAATAAAATTCAAATGAATCAGCTATTCCAAGGGCAAAGTTTTAATTATATTCCTGCCTCATTCTCTCCTGACAAGAATGTTAACTCTCTGCTAACTCCAGTGTGGACTGCCACGCTCCTTTCCTCCACAGCTCGGAGGGGCTCACATCCCCTCTGTCCAGGCAACCGCGATTAAATGGCAAGCTCCTCCCAGCCTCCCGGGCTCTTCACTGTGTAAGGAGCCAGGACCCCAGGCTGAGGGCCCCAGAAACGATGAAGAGCTTGGGCTCCAGCAGATGCCAGCCGAAGTCCCAGCTTCAAGGCATGAGTGGTGGGACCCCGGGAAAGTGGCTTCCCTCCTCGAGTTTATGCTCCTCCCGTGGGAGATGGGACAGTGAGGTGCCGACATTGTAGTGCAACGAGAAAAATGAGATACCCTGGGCTTAGCCTGGGGCCCCCACAAGTAAGATGTGGGTGAAGTAAGTCAACAATGAGGCAACAGGGCATGGTGGGGATTGTGGTAAGCTGCAGGACATGGGCCCCATCTGCGGGGCAGCTGCCATCGCCTCTACAAAAACACAGCCCAGGGCTTGGAAATGTTCTACTTCTCAATTTGGGTCATCCTCATATGGGAGTTGATGTGTGTAAAAATTCACTGAGCCATACACTTACGATGTGTATACTTCATGTATTTATACCTCGAGAAATAAACCTTGGGATTAAAGTATTTAAAGTATTTAAAGAAATGTGGGCTAAGTGCTGTTAAAGCTTCTGAATTTCCAAAAGCAGTTTAAAAGTCAGATTCTTATAAAAAAAAAGTACCCTAATTTTTAAGTGGGGTACTTTATATAAATTCGTGTTTGTCATATTTTTAAAAATACCACGTAAGGGGTGCCTGGGTGGCTCAGTGGGTTAAGCGGCTGCCTTCGGCTCAGGTCATGATCCCGGGGTCCTGGGACCAAGGCCCGCATCAGGCTCCCTGCTCAGCGGGGAGCCTGCTTCTCCCTCTCCCTCTGCCTGCCTCTCTGCCTACTTGTGCTCTCTCTCTCTCTGCCAAATAAATAAATAGAATCTTAAAAAGAAAAACATACCATGTGAGCGCAGCCCCTCTTTGGCCACCAACCCCCTGCACTGGGTCTAACGCCTGACGTGCTTGAGACCAGATTGGCATTTCAGAAGAGAGGATGAAAGACCCAGAACAAGCCCACGGATCTCGCAAAGAAAGCTCACGATCCCGGACACACCTCTAGCTGGTCCACTTTGGCATAGATGCCACGCATTTCTGTCACTTTGGCCTGAAGGAGCGGGATGCTTTCCTCCAAGATCTGTGAAGTGTCGCTCCTGATCTGCAAGAAACAAAACAGCTCATCAGGCTCTCTGCCCTGGTACCCCAGGCTTCGGCTGGCCTCTCGGGTCGCCCAGGGTCTGCAGAGACCTCGCAGATAGCCAAGAGGCCGAGCGGCATCCTGCACAGGGATAGCCCACCGCCTCTCGGGCCCCAGACCTACTCAGGTGTTACTGAACCACCGATTGTTTCCCCCACAAACACCTGACACCACCAGTCCCAAACGAAAGAGCCCCATTTTCCAAACCACTCAACTGGAGCAAACGGAAAGAAATCAAAATCTCCTCTCTAAACCCAAGTTGAGGTAAGTTTTCACTGCCCTGAAATTAATGATACTAATAAGTCGTTAATAATTACTAACATTCATTAATAATGTGAATGAAAACCACAGCTTTCCTGTATCCGAGTGCGCCCTTCTCTGTCGACGCTGCGCTAAGCATCCCCCCCACACAGCATCTCTTTTAAGTTTCCACTGCTTCTGCCAGGAAGGGCTCCAAAAGTGGCTATGACCTTTATGAAGCCACATCCTTCCCTTGGGCACTTAAATCGGACGTCTATGCCTCGATTTTCTTTAAGAGCCAAAGGACCGAGCCTAAGCCCTCGGTGTGTGGGAGAGAGAGATTCCATCTCCACGTTAGCATCTCCTTACGGTGCAGAGAGGCGGCGAATGTTGCTCTCAGATGCTAGGGAGCAACGGGACCCCCTGGGGGAGACCTTTCCAATGCTGATTCCCAGGCCCCTCTATGTCTGGGGGTCAGCTGGGAATCTGTGTTTTCAGCTAAGCTCCAAAGCCATGCTGGAGTGGGGGTGTGGAGACAGTCACAGAACACCAGTGGGAACACCAGGAGCTGGGTGCAGGACTCAGCCTGGTGTCTGAGTTCGGGTCTACCCACTGTGAGCTGTGTGACCTTGGGCAAGTCACCGCACTCCTCTGAGCCTGCCTTTGCTTCTTGCTTCCTTGGCATGCAGGTGAGGAATGTCTGGCAGAAGTGTTTGGCACAGCTCCTGACTGGTCCCCAGTGACCACTGCCTCCTGGTATTCACACCTGCTATATTCACACCCACCTTATTCATGCCTGCTGTGGGATCCCCTCCCCTGGACTTGAACCGGCCCTGGCGATTCGCTTCTAATAGAGACAACTCAGCCAAAAGGAGAGCAGTCACTCTGGAGACAGGATTCCAGAGGACTGCCCCCCAGCTTGCTGGCCTTCTCTCTCTCTCTCTCTCTCTCTCTCGCTCATGCACGCTCCCTCTCCCCCCCCCCCCATCTTCTTTCTCACTGGGCCTCTCCATCACCAGCCCATTGCCATGGCAGAGAGGCCCGCTAGGGACAGAGGAACTAAGACACACAACGGCTGGCTTCGCCGGACGCGGTCCTGCCCCAGCCGAAGCAACACCTTGCCAGGAGGACCACGGGGACCACCCAGCGCGGCCGCACGGACGCCTGACCCACAGGCACTGCCAAGTAGTGAGGACCGAAAGTTTTGGGACAGTGTGTTAACCAACAATAGATAACTAACGCAGTGACAACTCAGCACAAAATTTTAATTTCAAAAAATGCCTGCAAAACTATCCGTTTTTCCTCCTTTTTCTGCCTAATACATGAGGCTTCTTGTGGTTCTCCTGGAATTCTGCTCCCATTGTCCTTCAGGATGTGCCCTGGGTCTCAGAAGTGACCCCATTCCCTGAGTGTCCAAAACCAAACTCTTTCCTCCTGGTCCCCTCCCTGGTCACGGTGCTGCCATCTCCCTGGGCACCTGGCTCCAAGTCACTGTCCTGGGTACACTCTTGTCTCACGCCCTGGCCCCACAGGGGCGCAGACAGGTCCTGAGAGGGTGGCATCTGGCATCATGCTGCCTGGCCTCCGTCTCTGCCCTGACCTCCCCGTGCCTCGGTTTCCTAGTTTATAAGATGGGGACCATACAGTACTTCTCTTGAAAGAATGCTCTGGAGGTTAAACAAGACCACCTCTGACTGGATGGGGCCCACACATGCACCTCGTGTGGTTCGCAAAGTGTCTGAGTTTTTTAATTTGACTTAATTTCCAACTTTAAGATTCAAGCAAGGTTCTTAGGAGAATGGCTGATTCTAGAGGTGGGGCAGGGAAAACAAGCCGCTGGAGAATCTTCCAGGTCCAGAACGTAAGGGAGTGCTTGTTGGTTGTTTGTTTTTAAACATGTTTTTTTCCTTAGGTAATCTCTGTGCCCAGCGTGGGGCTTGAACTCACGACCCTGAGATTGAGAGTCGCCTGCTCCAGTGATGGAGTCAGCCAAGCGCTCTGTAAGGGAGTGTTTACACAGAAGCCAACCGGCAAGAGCCAAATGGCCGTAGTGGGAATAATCTGGACAACAGAATACACAAGGCGATGTGGGATCATACTCGAAGGACAAGAGAAATCCACGAGAGTCCCTCAGGAAGAAATGACAGGACACAGGCCACAGGAGGGGGCCATGGGAGCCAAGTGCCCCTGACATGATGCCACCTCTGTGGATTCTCTCCAGAAACCGCCACCCCCCGTTCAGCCACCAGAAAACCATCAGACAAACCCAAGCGGAGGGACCCCCTACAAAATACCTGACCAGAGCTCCGCAAAACTGCCAAGGTCACGAAAAGCCAGGAAAGACTAAAACGTCACAGAGGAGGAGACCAAGTGGACAGGACAACCGAATGCACCGTGGGACCTTGGCCAGAAAGAGGACATTAGTAGGGAGCCCGCAAAAGGGGAATCAAGTGTGGAGCTTAGTGAGCAACACACCCGGGTTGGCTTCTTAGTTCCGGCGAAGGTACTGCGGCCACGGGAGATGCTCGCCCCGGGGGGAGGCTGGCTGAGGGGCGTGTGGGAACCCTCTGTACCATCCTTGCACTCTTCCTGTAAATCTAAAACTATTGCAAAACAAAACATATAAACATGGCTTTAAAATACTCAAGTGATTAAGTAGGGCTTTACAAGGTGTCTTAAAAGTCAGCCCCTCGGGCAACACTGGGCCTAAGCCTCCCTGGCGCGGAAGGCTGGACTGAGCAGTGGCTGCAACCTCCAGGTAGGGCATGAGCTCCCTGGTGACACAGTCACCACCCTTCCCTAATGCCTCACCCCCTGCCCCCTTCACTCAGGTCCAGATCCTGCCTGGCTCCCGTAGGCACCTGCGTTTTTGCCCCTGGTCAGGAAAAAGCCCTCAATATTTTCCCTTTCTTCCCCCAAGGCCAAATCTCTAGAGACATACCCATCCCCTCCCCCCAACAAGGCTAAACTGGAGAAATCACCAAGGTTCCGTGACTCAACGAAGAGCCGATAACTCACAGCAGGGTCGGAACACAGTGGATCTAACGCAAATCTTTTCTTTCTGCTAATTTCTAAAAAAACGAATAGGGTCAGAACAAAGAAAATCAGGAGGGCCTGGTCCTAGTGACCCACCCACCGGAGAGAAGGGAATGCTGCAGAGAGGAGATTCACGGAGCACGCCCTTCCCTTCCTCTAGCTCTGAAGGAACCCAAGGAAGAGAGCATCTGGGGCCGGGCAAGAAGGCCCCTCTCTGAAGACTCCTCTCCACTTACTGGAATCACGGGCCATGGGGAGCTAGCTACAGTTGCCCGGATGGCAGGCTGCACGTGCGTGGGGGGTAGGTAGAGAGTAATCCTGGGGGTCTGAAAGGCCCCCAAACCTTTTGGTGGTTCCCCATGAGCTGGGAACTGGAAGGCAGAAAATAAGGGTAGGAGGGGCACAAGGCCAGCACCCCACGAACCTTCGCCACGTGCTGAGAACGGGCCCTGTGAATCAGAAACCATTTTATCTTCAACCTCTCGTGGCTGAGGACAATGCGCAAGGACAGGAAAACGAAATGGAGCCGGCCCAAGGTCACAAGGCTACCAAGTGGCAGATGGAAAGTTCCTATCCAGGTTGGTCTGAGGTCACCGGTGACACTAGAGGTCTGCGCGCGTGTTCTGCCAGGCCTTGCAGAGTCAGCCTGCGTCACGTCTGAAAAAACCAAAGCGCACCCACACCAGGTGCCACGATCTGAAACGAAGGATATTTCCCTGAGAAGCCCAGATTTCTAGCTTCTTGTGAAAAAGCAGAGGACCTGGCCACCCTGAGTCCGTGTCCCATGTGACAGCAATCGGCTGGAGCTGGGTACCGCTGCCCCCGTTGGTTAACCATAGTCCCTACAACTCCCTAGAGTCTCCCCAGCATGGCATCCGTGGCAGCCCTGGGCACTTCTCTTCTTACAGGGAAGTCAAAGGAAAGCAACACATTTCTTTCCTCACACCCACTTCACACCATCATGTCACACGCATCTGGGCAAAGAGAGGTCAGTGAAGAATCAATGCTGGCTGAGCCTCTGCCAGGACGAATGCCCAGCCAGGTTTATTGGCCTGAGGACCTGGCAGACCCTTCCCCAGCCTGGTCACCCACCTCCCCGGAGCTGGCCTCCAGAGCCCAGAAGTCTGGGTAGCGGATGTGGGGGTTATCACTGAGCAAAGACGGCTGTCCAGGATGATTCAGGGCCTCCGGGAAGGAGAGCCAAATGCACTTGACCCAAGAACACACACCAATGCCAAATGCAAGTGCTGGACCAAGGCCAACAAAGAATTTTCTCCATCCATGTGAGCGAAGTAAGAGTCTGCTCCCTGCCAGGGGTGGGGTTCTGAGGGCTCGGACAAGGTGCCCAAACTCCAGAGGGCACTGAGCTGGAGGCCGTACAAATCCTTACCGGTGTCACGACCTTCTGGTGCTTTGATAATGACGAGCCACCATGCATGGGTCACCTCCTACAGAGCCGGCACCCTGCTAAGCAATTATTTTTATTTGAATGTAGGAAATGACAGACGGTGAAGGGCTCGGGCCTTAAGTGGGCAGCTGGATGAATGTGTACGTGTGTCCACATCTGCGTCAACACCACCCCAGCCACCGTGTAGAACATCCCATCAGCCCAGAAGGCTCCGGTCACAACCGCCCTCCCAGAGCGAACCACGATCCGGCTTCCACCACTGTGCAGTCTGTGTCTGATGGCACTCATGATGTTCGGGGCACTTTATTCTTTTGCATTCGGCTTGCTTCTGGTTTGGGGCATCGTGAATGAAGCTGCTCCGGAACATTTGTGTACAGGTCTTTGTGGACTCTCATTTTCATCTCTCTTGGGTAACTACTTCGCTTTACAATTGCTGGGGTGTAGGGTCAGTGCATGTGTGACTTTGTAAGAACCTGCCACACCGTTTCCAAAGGCAGCTGTGCCATTTGGCATTTCCACCAGCACGTGAACAAGTGTTTCTGTTGCTCCACGCTTGCCCACACTTGCTACTGTTGGTCTTTTACATCGGGGTCAGTCTAGAGGACGTAACGAGCACGTCCCCGCCTCATCGAGTCTGCACCCTAACTCTTAGGAGAAGGATACCGTTTGCAGTAGATTAAAGAGGGCTACAAATTCTTTCCATTCCTTCCATGGACACATGGGGTCTGTGTCCTCTCCCCTTGGATCTGGGTGTGCTGACTGTTGTGACCAGTACCATATGACAGAAGCGAGACTGTCAGTTTCCATACTCAACCCTCCAGAGACCTGGCGGCTTCTACTTCCCCTCTGTTGGAACGCTTGCTTCGGGAGGCCAGACGCCACGCTACGGAAGCCAAGCTAGCCCCGAGGAGAGGCCGCATGGGGAGAAGTTACACCAACCGGTCCCCGGCCGCCCAGCGCTCCCAGCCCAGACATCAGACAAGTGGGAGAAGGAGCCACCCTGGACATCCCTGCCCCAGCAGGTGGCACGCGGCTCAGATGAACCGTCCCCTCTGGGCCCTGCCCTGGCCCACATAACACACACCTCTACGTTCTGGGGTAGTTTGATGCAGCCATAGACAATCAGGACCATTATGTCCATTTTACAGAAGAGAAAAGAAAGGTACAGAGAGAGGACGTGCTGTGCTCAAGGCCCCCCCAGCAGGAAGAGTCAGAGCTCACAGTGGCAGCTACCAGCATTATATCTAAGGTCTAAACAGGCAGCAGGCGCAGGGTCGTGAATTCCAGTCACATAGAGCGTTCAAGGACAGGCTGGCCGTGGAGTTAATGCATCAGACAGGAAGCCGGACTCTCGTTTCTAACAGCCTGATTTGATCGGAAACGGAGCGGCTTCTCTCTGGACTGTGTACCAGGGAGCCTGGCCTCTCTCAGACCTCTAACTTGATCAGTGTTTCCAAAGGCCAACGCAGGGACCCAGGGGACAGTGTCCATGGTGTGACATCACCTGCTCCCCAGAGGTCCCCATTCATCCGTAGCTTGGATCTAGCGAGAAAAGGAGGTTCCAAGCCAAGGTTGAGAGCTGGACGCCTCTCTCTGTGCCACGTGCACAGACACACCAGGTAAACTGAGCCTCAGCTGTTGGGGCAGGAGGACTTCCAGAATCTAAACGGCGTCAGCACTGAGCACTGTTGCAGGGGCCACAAAAGCATCGTACCAGACACATTCTCATTTACATACACACTCATGAAATGGTCTTCTCCCCCACGGGAAACCCACTCTGTTCCCTTTCTTGAAACACAGGACCCTCTTGGTCTTGTTTCATTTGCCTGCTTTCAGTAGGGCCCAAAGTACAGAGAAACACACTCTGCCATAAAACACACATGCACGTGATGGATGTACCTGGCAGGTGGCCCTGGAGTTGGGGAGCCCCCACAGGAGCAGTGGACGGCGACCGCTGGAGAGCTCACGCACTGTCCACAGTGGGGTGACCACGACACCACTCTGGACGATGCTGGCCAGGTGGGCCCATGCACCCCAGGGGAGCCAGATCTTTGCTCTTCCAAAAGAAGCCAGAAATCCTGATTTTTTGCATGACATTCTATAAATGTCAGCAGCAAATTCCTTTTTCTTTTCCTTCCAAAAACATCCAACATATCTGTAGGCGGGACTGGGTCCATGGGTCATGTGCGTGATCTCAGTCTTAAAATCTTTGTATAAATGCATTGCCAGGCTTCTGGTTCGGGGAGGGCCTTGTCAGCGCTGCCTGACCCCTTGGCCTCCAGGTGACACACACACAGGCTCCCCACCCCGGGAAGCCTTGGCAATTTCTAAGGCAGGGTGGCCGGGCACCTCTCCCCATCTAGGCTGACTCCTGCCCCAAGCTCTCCCCTCAGGCAGATAATGGGTCTCCTTTCAAGGAGGAGGATGGCTGAACTTGAGAACAGAGTGTCCCTGGGTCACCAGTCCACCCATCTTCCAAATCCGCCCCCTGCCTGTGGGCCCCCAGGGTCCACACTGTGCCCAGCACACCATACCCATGGGTCGGTGCCTCTGTCTGGACGCTCACCCTCCCCAGCGGCTGAATTATTTCTGTTCCTTCTTCAAGCCCCAAATTAATCACCACCTGTTCTGCAAAGCCTTCCCAATTTCCCAGGCAGAATTTAACGCCTCTGCTCTTCATTTTTTTTTTTTTTTTTAAGCAAATGAAGTCTTAGGATCATGGGCCCAGTTCCTTCTAGACCCTCTCTCCCTCTTCAAAACCTCTGCAGTCTCCCTTTGCACGTTGAACACACCTTCAGGCTGGTGCTTCAACACTGGATGACAGCCCTGGTCACACACATTGGGCTCCCGCAGCAGGGGGAACGGAGACAAAGCTGACTCTCTTTGCACCCTCAGGCTCACCATGGCGCCCAGTCAGGGAAGGTGCCCAATGGCTGGTGATGAAGAAAGGACTATCCGGGCTGTTCAAAGTCTGTCTCATTCCCAGCTCCCACCTGGACCCACACCCAAACTAGAAAATTGGTTCTCAAGAGAAAAACACACACATGTCCTCTTGGGGACATTTCTGTCTTGTTCACTGTTGTGTCCCCAGAGGATGGCATGAGGTAGGTCTGTTGAATGAGGGGGGATGACACGGTGCCCATCGCTTTGTGCTGCTTCAAGGAGAAATGGGGTGATCCGGACATCACGCTTCACACCGTGTCTGGCACCAACTAGGTGTTCAACAAACGTCCAGTCTGCGGTTTGTGTTTTACCCTGGGACTCTCACAAACACTTCTCCAGACACGTGCTTCACAGGCGCACAAATCTACCCCACTGGGTCCAGCGGGCTTCCTCTGCTCCAGGGAGAGGCAGGGCCTGATCACAATATGGAGCTCTACCCTTTGGGTCTTCGGGCAAAAGCCTTAAACCCAGGCTGCTGGGAGCTTCCAGGAAATTCTATCATGGCTCCTCAGGGCCCCACACCTGGCTGGCTACAATCCTGGGGACACAAGGATCTAGAAGAGATTTTTTTTTTTTACAGAATTTGGAGTGGAGACCTTGTCTTCCAGGCCTAAGGCACCATCTTCCATCTTCTTCTCCACCCAGCCAAAGGGATTTGATCCAACAGAACAGAATGGGAGGCAAAAGCTGAGGGAGCGAAAGGATTCGGGAAGGAATCTGACGCCCAACCCTGCCTCGGGCTACAGCCCGGGCCAGAGGCTCCTCTAGGCCTTGCAGGCCTGAAGCCATTTCCTGGCCGTCTCCATGTTTGCCTGGCGGACCGCGCGGAGCCGAGGGAAGTTAAATATAGTCTTAGCATCCCCGCTGAACGGCTCCCCGCATCGGTGCCCGAGAGTGCCACCTGGTGGCCCACTCCGGGCTCCTCGGTGGAATAAGAGCCATCTGGGGGGGATGGGCGTTTTCAAGATGGCCGCCTCAGGAAGCCTTGGTGTTGAGAGAGCGCGCGCGCGGGCGCGCGCGCAAGAGAGAAAGAGAGAGTGAGAGTGAGAGTGAGAGTGAGAGAGAGTGTGAGAGAGAGTGTGAGAGAGAGTGTGAGAGAGAGTGTGCGCGTGGTTTCCCCCTCACTGCTGGCCGCTGCCCCATTCCTTCTGGTTGCTAAATCACCACCAAAATGGCTTCCCCAGAAGACTCCAGGAAGGGCCTGGAGTCTGGCCTGGGCCTAAATCCATGCCTCCCAGGCAGACACTCACCATGTCAGTCAGGCTGCAGAACTCTTCCAGCCTGAGGAGCATCCCCTCAATGGTCTCCTCCACCTCCTTCGCCTGAAAAGAGACAATATCCTGGAGATTAGCAAGTGGTTTCCAGGGAGACAAACGCCCTTCACTGTTTTTTGTTTTTTTTTTTTTTAAGCAAACTAAATCTTAGGATTATCTGCCCAGTTCCCTTCAGACCTCTCCTTTACCTTTTCGAAACCTCTCCTAGCCTCATTTAAAATCGTGATAAGCTGTCCACGATCTTGACGCCTGTGGACAGAGGCCTGGTTAAAGCCACCATGGCCCATCCACTCTGTGCAGATTTCACAAGCGAGGAGATGAATGAAAACTAGCAGGAAACAGGACAAAGCTATCCTTATCATCCCATTGTTCGGATGAGGAAACTGAGGCTCAGGGGTGAGGTAAACCTGCTCGAGGTCACACAGCTAGCAAGTGGTGGGGCCAGGATTCCCACTGGGCTTGAGTCCATAGCCTCAAAGCTCTTACAAACCGTGAGAAACACCCCCTAACAAACACCACGGAGAGTTAACACAAGATGCAGAAGAGGCAGAAATAGAAACCCATCCTTGTACCAACACACGAAGGACGTACGTGGTTTACCAGAAAGGCCTGGAACCATACAGACCAAACTGCTAATAGTTAGGGGAGGTACTTACACGAAATGATCATTCAATCTGAAATTCAAATTGAACTGGGCATCCTGTAGTTTATCTGGCAACCTATTAATGGTGCTTCCTTGGCCCTGGGGAGTAGGAATTGGGGAACAGGGTCTGACAAGGGGGACTCGAGTGCTTTATGTTATCTGAAGGGTTCAAACCTCGAGGTACCAGGGCTGGGCAGTGACGTCATGAGTGACATCAAGGAGTAAAGCAGGCTGCCGGGGCTTTGCGGCGATCTGAGAAGTGCTTGCCCAAATCTAGAACATCTAGCAGCCATCAGTACACACAGACCCGGGGCTGCCAGAGCCTTCCATTTTTCAAGAGAAGCCAGAAATTTTAATGTTATGGAAAATGTCCCAATTTTTAAATGGTAGCATGGATTCATGTCCTGCCAAGCACAGGCCAAGCCAAACATGACCGTGCAAGGGTCTGCCAGTTTACAACCCCATTTAAATCACTTGTGCAAAAATTAGTTTGAACCTTTTTCTCCCCCCTCTCAAGTATGTACCGTGTGCATGACTTCTAAAATACCCCTTTTTGGTTTTGTTTTGTTTCTGTAATGACCAGGCATCTAGCAAGAAAGGTTGCCGAGAACATGAGCCACTTGCTCAGGCTTCCCCAGGCCAGACGGTTCTGCTCCAGGGAGGCAACACCAGACATTTCTGGGCAGGCCTGGTACCTGTGCCCCGACACCTGATGCCTCAGCTTATCGCCTGCTTGTCCCGGGACAGAGGGTGATGCCCTCGTTGCTAACACCACAAAATCAAGGGCTGTGCAAAAAAAAAAAAAAATCTTTCTGGCTGGAGTAAAAATAGTACCGAGTTGCAATTTTAAACTCTGGAACCTTCATCTCGCAGCTGGGACTATTTCGGTGCGTGCACGGGGGAGGCTTGACAAGGAAGGGGACCACAGTGGAGGGAGGACTGAGGGACGCACAGGAAGTTCTCTCCGCCCCCCAAAAAGATCACAGGAAAAGAAGCCCTTAATGCGCTAAGGAGAGAAGGAGACAAGAGGCCAGAGAGATGGAAGACGGGAAGGTTGGTCGCTTCCTTCTGCTCGCAGAGGGGGGGATGAAGCGGGAGAAGGGCAGAGATGGGCGGAGGAGGCGCCCCCCCCAGAGTGCAGGTGCAGACACCCCAGACCCCAGACCCGGCCGAGGAAGGCAACACCTGCAGAGGGACACGGATGCCCTCGCCCCAGCTGGACAGGCCGCCTCCTTCCCCGGCGGGGCCTGAAGCTCTTTGCTCAGAAGAAGCACATCTCCCTCTACCCTGGCGGGTTCGAGAAGGAGGCTAGTCAGTCCCAGGTTCAAATCCTATCCTCTCTTTTGCCAACCATGGGACCTTCATTCAAGGGTCTGAATTTCAGTGGGCTCCCCTGTGACAGCGTCGCCACACCGGTCTGGCAGGTTGTTAGGTTAACCTCACATAATGAATGCGGTCAAATCAGTTGACAGAGGGCTGACACACAGTAGGTGCATAATAAGTTGTTGCTTTATGTATCTCTCTCCCTAGATAGTAAAAACAATGGCTAATCACTAATAAAGGGATTATTTCATTTGATTCTCACAAGACCTCTACACAATAGGGGCTATAATTTCCCCCTTTTTATGGATTGAGAAACAGAGGGCCAGAGAGCTTAAGTCACTCGCTCAAGGTCAGACAGCTAATAAACTCGGAAGCCAGATTTGACCCTGAGCACTCTGAGGAGCTGAAGTTTATAACTACAAAGAGGCTCTTTGGGGGGGGGGAAATGTGTCCCCTTTATCGCTGCCTGTCAGCTACAGTCTCCGTCCCCCACCTCCTCCCCCATCCTGGGGCAGGGCCCCAGTGCAGGAGAGAGCCGAGAAAGCATTTGCTGACTGGCCAGCTAAGGAGAAACGAGCCCGGAGACATTCCCAACCAACAGGAAGGAGCTCAGGATTAGCCAACCCATCATGCCCACAAATCATTCACAGGACAATTTTCTCTCAAGATAATCCCCTAAGTGGCCTCAGAAATGAGAGTCCTACAGGCGGCAGCCCACACGCCTTGTTCACCAGCCCATCAGCAAAATGAATGCCCTTGCCCTCCTGTGCACCTCCCTGGGCATAAACTGTCCCACTCCGAGGGGAAGGCAAATGGCTCGCCTGGAGTGACATTCAGAGCACGGCTGGCCAGTGGGCATTTTTAACACACGTGAATCATGGCATCTCCTTTCTTACATCAATCTCCCCAAGTGCCAATCCCAGCTTCCCAGCTGGGCATGCCAGAGAGCCAAAACGGGGCTGGCCCCAGTCCACCAGTGACAGGCACCCAAAACCCCACAAACAGACCCTCCACCATGGGCTTCTCCAACTCAGGAAGGGGAAACCCCATTGTCCGTTGCTCGGTCCAGACACCTGGGCGCATCCTTTTTTTTTAAAAAAGATTTTATTTATTTATTTGACACAGAGAAAGAGAGTGAGAGAGAGAGAGAGAGCACAAGCAGGGGGAGTGGCAGGCAGGCAGGCAGAGGGAGAGGGAGAAGCAGGCTCTCTGCCGAGCAGGGAGCCCGATGCGGGGCTCGATCCCAGGGTCCTGGGATCGTGACCTGAGCCGAAGGCAGCTGCTAAACCGACTGAGCCACCCAGGCGCCCACACCTAGCAGCATCCTTGACGCACCTTCCTTCCTCAGCCCGGCCCATCCAGTGTGTTTGCAAATCCTCTCTGGGCCGCCTTCGGACCATGGCCTGAAGCCCACCGCTTCTGTCCACCCCCCTCGCCGCCACCCTGGCACCGCGCACAGTCCTTGCTCACTGGCCCCTGCTTCCGCTTACTCCTCTGTCAAAACCAAAGCCCTCGTCGGCGGGAAATCTTCCGCCGTCCGGGCTCACAGCCACTGGGGCCCCTACAGCCGCAAACTGGATGATGACAAATGCCGCTGAGCGTTGGGAGCCCCTGGAACCCTCGCATGCTGCTGGGGGCCGTGTGACCCGGCGCCACTGCTGTGGAACCCAGTCTGGCACTCTTTGAGAAGGTGAAATGCAGTTACCCTATGACCCAGCAACATAGCCCAGGGAACTGGAAACACGATGTTCTTACAAAAATGTGTGCATTATTCATGAGAGCCGAAAAGTGGAACCAACTCAAGGTCCATCAAGTGATGAATGAACAAACAAAATGTGCCGCGTCCACACTATGGAAATACTATGTGGCAGGGGCGCCTGAGTGGCTCAGTCAGTGAAGTGTCTGCCTTCGGCTCAGGTCATGATCCCAGGGTCCTGGGATCGAGCCCCGCATCGGGCTCCCTGCTCGGCGGGGAGCCTGCTTCTCCCTTTGCCTCTGCCTGCGGCTCCCTCCGTTTGTGCTTGTGCTCTCTCTCTCTGTCAAACAAATAAATAAAATCTTAAAAAAAAAAAAGAAAAGAAATATTATGTGGCAATAAAAAGGAATGCCGACCTGATACATGTTAGAGCATGGATAATCCTCGAAAACATGAAGCTGAGTGAAAGAAGCCAGATGCAGGGCGCCTGGGTGGCTCAGTTGGTTAAGCGACTGCCTTCGGCTCAGGTCATGATCCTGGAGTCCCGGGATCGAGTCCCACATCGGGCTCCCTGCTCGGCAAGGAGTCTGCTTCTCCCTGACTCCTCCCCCCTCTCATGTGCTCTCTCTCAAATAAATAAACAAAACCTTAAAAAAAAAAAAAAGAAGCCAGACACAAAAGGCCAAGTATCACATGATTCCTTTTAGGTGAAATGTTCAGAAGAGACAAATCCACAGAGACAGAAAAGCAGATCACTGGTTGGGGGGTAATGGGCAGCGGGGGAATGAGGGAAGAAGTGCTAATTAATGGTCATGGGGTTCCTTTCTTGGGGGATGAAAATGCTCTGGAACGAGGTCATGGTGATGTTTGCACAACATAGTGAATGTACTAAAACCCACTGAACTGTATACTTTAAAATGGTAAATGTTTTGTTACATGAATTATAGCTTAATTAGAAAAAAACAAAAAAAGTCCTCCCCTGTCCTCCACCTCCCTCAGCAAACACCTAATAGATGCCTTGCCAGCCCCATGCCATCTGGACCCTCCATCTGCTCTCTGACCTCACTGTCCACAGCTCACTCCCCATCAACTACACCAACCACATCCTCACCCCAGGGCCTTTGCACCTGCTGTTCCCATTGTCGACAAAGCTCACTGCACACTTCCGTTCAGCCTTTGCTCAACCATCTCTCCTCAGTGAGGCCTTCCCCGGCCTTGTAGTCCCCACCACTCCCTGTCCTGCAACCAATTTATTTCTCTCTTCAGCCTCCATCACTGTCTAACATTTTATACATTTTGCCTGTTTTGTGTCATCTTCCTCCACCCAAATAAAAGCCCATACAGGGCAGGGGTCTTAGTGCCTTTCATTCACCTTTGCATTCCCAG